GTCATTTCTTCGTAGGTAAGTGGTGTATCGCCAATTATTCGTTTTAAATGGTACTTCATAGACTTGACGCCAGCTTCTCATAATCCTCCAAAGTGAGGAGAAGCTGGGGGAATGAAGTGCCATTGGTTTCCACCTGCAACTAAGGTATCTTGGATCTCTGACTTCTGTATTGTATTGTAAATTTCATCATGTAGTATCTTACTGGCTCCTATGAAGTTGGTACCATTGTCACTATATAGATGTGCACATCTTCCTCGTCTAGAAATAAATCGCCAGAAAGCTGCCAGGGGGGGTTTATTTGAAACGTGCAATTCAAATACATCTGACTTATTTGAAACTTTCGTCGACGCATTTCGCTAAATTCGTCGACGCAAGATTACATTTGACATGCGTCACCTCTAGAGCTCGTGCATTTCCAAATTGCACGCAAAAGTTTCTTAAAAATTTCAGTTTAGTGAACAAATAATATTTTTGGCCTCATGGAATTTGAAAATATTGTTAATTTAAATGCTCTAGAAAGGGCGCAATTGTATAACCATAACTGCAAAGGCTTCAGAAATCGGAGAATAGATGCATGCATTAACAATGCTTAGGTAATGACGGGGAATTTATAAAAAACTTTGAGTTTCAAAAGAATGTTTCGAGATTCCTTTCATGAAAAGGAGTTCGAAAATTTTCCCGACAAAAAGGACCGATATTTGTTCAAAATATTCGACCAAGATTTCTTTCTGTTTTTTTTGGTAACAAATCCGGACTTTCTCGTATTGGCACTTGCCTCCGCACTTTCCATCCTTCTTGCGGTATTGCCTTACACTTATAGAAAGAATGAACTAAGATAATACAACAAAAAAAAAACGAAAAAAACTCCAATTAAACACGAAACTTTATGCAAGAAAACCATCAAAAAAATTGTTTACGTTAAACAATTATTTCAAATTTGACATTTCAATGCGTCGTTCCGTTTGGTTATATAAAATTTTCTAACAATGTCATTGGTTAGAATCTTTTACAGTACATGTTGCCAAGTTGAGTAGTGCAAATTTAAAAATTCACGATTTACAAAATGCCCAAGATTTCAAATAAGCCGATTGTGAATTTTCAAAATTCGTCGACGCACATATTTCGACCGACTGAGTCGCAGGTGAAAGATTTGCACGGATTTCAAATAAACCCCCCCAGGGGGGTCTTTGTAGCAAGACAGACAAAGATTGAAATATACCCTTTATAGGATTTGTACCCTCTGCCCTTTGTAGTTTTGATTTGGATAGGTCCTGCGTAGTCGACACCGGAATGTAGGAATGGGTGCGACGGTGTTATTCTGGAGACTGGAAGATTTCCCATCTGTTGCTCGATTGTTTGAGCCTTGAATCGCAGGCATCTTACACAGTGGCTAATAATAGTCTTTACTCTGCGTTTTCCATTTATTATCCAGAAACGGCCTCTTGTATAGGATAATGTCAGCTTATTGCCTCCATGTAGTGTATTGGCGTAAGCGTTCAATATTACTAGCTTTGTCAGGTGACTCGCATAGGGTAAGATAATTGGATGTTTGCTATCGTAACGTAGCATAGAGTTTTGTAATTTTCCTCCAACTCATAAAACTCCTTTGTCGTCCAGCCATGGAGTGAGATTGAGAATTTTGCTATTACTGTCTAGCTGAGACCCTTTTTTCAGCTTTTGTATTTCTGCTTTGAAATGTTGGATCTGATCAATCTTGACTAGGTGTGTTAGGGTGTCTACCATTTCATCAACTGTGAGTAGAGTGTGCGGATTCGTTTATCTGCTGCAATTTTGAATAAATCGTCTGCAGTACGATACAACTCGAATCATGTGGTTTAATGAAGAAAATCGCTCTATAATTTCATTTTTGGGTTCATTGCTTTGAGTTGCAATTGTAACATGGTGACACGTTCTGGCCTCCTCTGTGGTGACTGATATCTGGTCCGTCGGTGTTATGGTACTCGATTTCAACCACGATGGACCAACCACCACATTGTATGATTTTTTAATAAAGTTGGGCTTATCCCTCTTGATATAATATCTGCTGGGTTGTCGTCGGTTCGCACGTGATGCCAATGTTGATGCGGAATAAGTTTATTGATTTCTGCTACTCGGTTGGCTACAAAATTCTTCCACCTGGATGGATCACCTTTTATCCATGATAGTGCTATTGTAGAGTCTGACCAGGCATGTACGGGAGAATCTTGTAGTGATAAGGTTGTAGCAGTCTTTTTTAGTAAATGTGAAAGAAGCACGGCAGAACATAACTAGTCTTGGCAACGTAACTTTCATTCTTGCTTGTGCTACTTTGGATTTAGTTAGCAGAACTATTTGTGTTTCATCCAGGGAATTCTTGACTTTCATGTTAACTACGGCTCCATATGCCTTCTCGGAGGCATCACAAAAGCCATGTAGTTCCACGTGACTGTTTTTTACTTGGAAGGTCCACCTGGATATGGTAATTTTCTCGACACTCTGGCACAAGATCATCCCATTTTAGCTCTTGCAGCCATAGTTCTTGGATAAGGAGCTTCGCCCTGATGATTATTGGAGCTAACCATCCTAGTGGGTCGAATAACTTAGCAACTTCTGAAAGAATGCTCCTTTTAGTAATGTTATCACTGGTCGATATTTCAGTTTTGAATCTAAATGTGTCATTATATGGATCCCAGTGGATACCTAGAGACTTTCTTATGTCATCTTCAGTTATTTCCATGGCTGATTGATCTTCAAGTTCATTTGGAAGTTTCTGTAGTAACTCTCGTTTGTCGCTGGACCATTTTCGCAACGTGAACCCTCCTCGTTGAAACATTTTGATGAGTTCGTCTTGTAGTGATAGAGTTTCTTCTATAGTGTCAGCACCTGAGAGCAAATCATCGACATAAAAATCTTTCATTGCTGCTCTGGATGCATTCGGAAAGTTGCATCTCTCGTCGTGGGCAAGCTTTTGTAATGTTTTAATAGCTAAGTATGGTGCTGCTGTCGTCCCATAGGTTACAGTTGTTAGCAGTATTCATTAATTCGTGTGTTGATTGTTTTTTTTGATGGTTTTGTTGACATGGGAGCATAGGTTTTGTTACTGGTTCGTTAATCTTTGTTGTGGACTGTATATATTGATTACTATTGATTGAAAAAAAATAATAGAACTTTTAATTTGTAGCCTGACGCAAATACCTTTTTCAGCTTTTTCTTGGGAGGTTCCTCTCCCTCTTCTACTCTGCTAGACATCTAGAATTTTACTAAATAAGTAATGACATTACTTAAAAATAAAACTCACATGCATTATGCATTTATCATTTACCTCAACATAGACACCAAAACTTTCCAAAAAATTGATTTAATATTTGTCTCCTCTTTACACAAAAAAACAACGTTAATATTTAAATAGAACCATTACCGCAGCGACGGTCTTTCTGAGCCAACCGACTTGTAATGACAGGTGAGCGCGTGCGCTGTGTCATAATACGTATCTTTGGCTGAGTTCGGCTTTGCCCTCCACGGGGCGGAACGTTATGAGCATGGATACCGTGACGTCATAGGCAGCGTGCACTTTGCGCAAAAGGGAACAATCGGAGCGCTAAAACGAACAGGATCTTATCGTTTCGAGCGCGCTCGGAGTTCACCGAGTGGAAAGCAGAACTCACTGAACTCAGTAAATGCTAGTTTCGGCACGGGAAAATGTCATCAGATTTGTTCGGTGGATTGTTGCTCTGGTAGAACACGGGCCCATTTTTACTTGAGAGGCTGGGGCCTACCGGGCAAGTGCCCGGTTGCCCGGCGGGCCAGTCCGACACTGGGAAAAAGGAATTCAAATCCGCTGATCGGATTTTGGTTTCTCCAAATACTTTATATCTGGTTCTTGGCGATGACTGGGCAGTTGCAAATAATATATTTCGCCGTTTCTTCATCTTTCATACAGCTATCACAGATTCTTTTTGGGCAAACGCTAGATGATGTAAGTCACTATATAAGCAAGGTTATTGAAGTCCGTCAAGTTCAACGAGTATGCTCAGTCCGAATTTACTCTGGGTTTTTTTGGAAGAAAATATTGGGTGAATACTTTCTACTAGGCTCCAAGTCTTGTGATTTTATTAATGTTTTTTGATCCTTCGCTACGAAAAGACAGGTCTCGTTGCTATCGCACATTAGATAGTAGGTTTTGTAAAATGACGGGTTTATCCATTTCCGAAATACTCTCTGAATGTATCGAAGAGCATCTTGCCATCCACCTCATGAGCTAGGGTGAGCAGGTCATAGTAGTAAGTTTTGATGTCTTCATTCGCCTCTTGTTTACGTGAAGTAAGTTTGAATTTCAACTTCCGTTAACGGCTGTTCTCCACTAAATTGTTTGACGAAGTCCTTTTTTATTTTCTCCCATGTGTTATTTTTATTAGCTACCTCTGTTATGTAGTCACTAAACCAGTATGAAGCTGGACCCTCCAAAAAATTTCCAAGATACGAAATTTTAAATGCGTCTGTCCACCCATTACAGATTGCTGTTCTTTCGTATTTTAATAAAAATGTTACGGGTAAATCCACGCTTGGATCAAAACTAGGAGGTAAATGTCAAGGGTGCTAATTCAATTTTTGTGTTGATTTTTTCCCATCTAGTTTATGTCCTGAAAATTTCAACTTTTTTCAAAAGTGTCCTTGAGAAAAATGTGGTCTCCTCCACTGGGAGTATGATAGTCATCTCTAACAGGTTGCCGTTTGTGCTGTAAAGGAACAAGGATCGACAACTTGTGAGGAAAGCCAGTGCCGGTGGTTTGGTAACCGCCGTAGCCCCAGTAGTCATCAATGGCAACGGTTTCTGGATGGGTTGGCCCGGCATCCATTTGAAAAACCCCAACGAGCCGATTCCAGAAAGCGATCCTGACGACATCATCCCCACTGCAGGACTTAAATCCGACAAAGTTATAGCAGTACAAATCGATCCGGCAGTCTTCGATTCCTACTACAATGGCTGTTGCAACGCTACGTTTTGACCCTTGTTCCACTCCATGCCGGACCGAGCCACTTTCAAAGGCGAACACTGGAAAAACTACGTGACAGCCAATAAAGAGTTTGCCAAGTGCACGATAAGAGCTCTAAGACAATTACCGCGCAACAACACCGAATCGCAGTTGATTTGGGTGCATGACTACCATCTGATGCTGACATCTAACTGGATCAGAAAATATGCCGATGACGAAGGTATGCCTTGCAAGTTGGGCTTCTTCTTGCACATACCTTTCCCACCGTGGGGGGACATTTTCCGTCTGTTTCCTTGGTCCCACGAAATTTACCATGGCAAATGCGAAATGGTCGGCTTCCACGTAACCGACTATTGTCTTAACTTTGTCGACTGTTGTCAGCGCAAGTTGGGCTGCCGCCTCGACAGGAAGAACCTTTTGGTGGAGCACGGCGACAGAACTGTCAGGGTGCGCCCTTTACCCATCGGCATACCTTTGGAAAGATTCGTTGAGTTGGCCGAGCAAGCTCCGAGGGTGATTTCGACGAACCAAAAAATTATTTTAGGCGTGGATAGGTTAGATTATATCAAAGGTTTAGTGCACAGGTTGCTGGCGTTTGAGAAACTAATGGAGAAGGTTTCGCTATTGCAAATTGCCGTGCCCTCGAGGACGGATGTCAAAGAGTACCAGGAATTGAAAGAGGAAATGGATCAGTTGGCGAGTAGGAATAATGGATGGTTTACTACACCCAATTGGTCACCAATTAGATACATCTATGGTAGTTTGTCCCAAGACGAGTAAGCCGCCTTTTACAGAGACGCGGCCGTAGGGTTGGTGACGCCTTTGAGAGACGGTATGAATTTGGTAGCCAAAGAATTTGTCGCTTGTATAATCAACATACCTCCGGGTGTACTGATAGTGTCGCCGTTTGCTGGCGCCGGTGAAACTATGCACGAAGCTCTCATCAGTAATCCTTACGAAATTGATGATGCCTCGGAAGTAATTTATCGAGCTCTTACAATGCCCGGAGATGAACGAATCGTCAGAATGAACTACTTAAGAAGACGAGAAAAACTCAACGACGTCAATTATCGGACGAAAAGTTTCCTGAGCGCAATGGGTTCGTCACAAACGGCCGACGACCACGACGAAGTCGGTTCGATTCTTAATGATACTGTATTCTTTTATAAATGATACAAAATGAAAAAAAAAAAAAAACTCTTAAAGGAAAGGCGGACTGACAACGGGCCCTCCCTTAGCTGGATCTGGCGGACTACCTCCCTCGCTATATCCCCTAGGGCTTAGATATTTATCCGTTTGAATGTGATACTTGCTATGCAAAATTTAAATGAAAAAACGATTCGAAGAGCCACATATTAACAGGCTCGGATCGCTTGAATTCAAATTCAAGCCTAACTTCAAAAAAATATATATTTTTAACGATACTGTATCAATCTTTTCACATTATAATAAGGGAGGAAATCAAACACACAAAATACTCTTAGAGTTTTATTTGATCTACCAGGTTGTTTCCCAGAGATGTACTGAACCTTGTGTGGCACTGATCCCTGAAAAGTTGCTATACCTATGTATTTATATTTAATCCTATTGCATTATAATAAGGGAGGAAATCAAACACACAAAATACTCTTAAGAGTTTTATTTGATCTACCAGGTTGTTTGAATATAACACTTGCAAAGCAAAATTTAAACGAAAAAACGATTCGAAGAGCCACATATTAACAGGCTCGGATGCGTGCAACGCCAAATTCAAATTCAAGCCTAACTTCAAAAAAAAAATATATATTTTTAATGATACTGTATTAATCCTAACACATTAAAATAAGGGAGGAAATCAAAAACACAAAATACTCTTAGAGTTTTATTCGATCTACCAAATGATACAAAAAAAAAACCCTTAAGGGAAAGGCGGAATGACAACAAGCCCTCCTTGGCACATGGCACTTCCGAGGTACCCTCCTCTCTGGCTGGTCCTAATTGCCTGGGTTATCTCTCTTTCCACCTCCAGCATTATCATCCATAATTGGATAAGGGTCCTCTCCCTATAAGTGTAGGGGAACGTGGCCTCCGGATTCCCAAGACTATATCCCCTAGGGCGTAGATATTTATCCGTTTGAATGTGACACTTGCAAAGCGAAATTTAAAAAAAAAAGGATTCGAAAAGCCAGATATTAACAGACTCGGATGAGTGCAACGCCAAATTCAAATTCAAGCCTAACTTAAAAAAAAAAATATACATCGTGCATCCAGAAGAAAAGCGTTACAACTCAAAAAACGTCTTTTTTCAGGAGAAGCGTTTTAAAATTTTTAGTTATTTAATTACCTCGAACTTTTTTATTAGTTGGACCATGGTAACCATTTTTTGGTGAAATAAATGTCTATCACTGCTCTAAATGACTGTGCGGCTGAAATGTTTTAATAATGTAAATTAAAAGAGAAAACGTCAGATATATCTTTCTTGAATTTAAAATATTGGCCTTTTTCTGCAAATCCGCTATTATGCAACATTAAATTTCTGGGAATAATTGAGTTAGATTACGAAATAATATCAAAATACTATGAAATTTTGTTGATAAATTTATTAAACAGTACAACATAAGCATTTCCATTCATAATGTTTATAAAAAAAATAATTTGAAAAAAAAACTGAACTTCTTAAGGCTTTTTCAAGTTCTAAATATTGTTGGTATTGTTTCACAAATTTTTATAGAGGTTTAGGTAAAACATTGGCACGCATTTCTTTTTTTCTATTAAAGAAATCAACCCATTTTTTTTTGCCTCTGAAATGCCCGGCTTTCTGATATAGGCCGGTTTAAGTTCCACTTTTGCAACGTCTACTTTTTTTCTGGCATTTACAATCTCTGCTCTTTCAAAGTCCTGTTGCTCATAGGAATTCTTATAAAATAGAAAATTTGGATTTTCTCTGTCCAGCTTAAGCACTCGTATCTCGGATAGTTTTAAATTCTTTGGCATGTTTATGAAGAGATTAGCAGCTAAGCCTTGAAGGTCTTTAAAGTCATTATGGCAAAGTTCATGTACTGTGTATGGAGTACCAGTTTTTTTTGCGGTACGTATGATGCATGCATACTGATCAGGGGCATAAATTGGACTAGTGTAGCCTCTTTTTTAACAAAAAAGGTACTGCAGTGGCAGCTGTTCGCCAGAGAGCATAATTAGGGTGGATAAGGAGTGTCTTTAGTGGGCGCCAGAAGATTTAAATTTTAAGTTCCAAATCCTCAAATGAACTTTATCAAAAATTGCATAATAATAGAAATCTGAAAAATAGGTAATCCAAAAATAATTATTGTAACAACTGTCTGCACTTAGTTTTGTTTATTAATTGAAACTTTGATGTTTGTTAAAGCCTGAGTGCAAAAATGTATATCCCTCATTAAATTCTTAAACCTAAAAAGCTGAAATTTTCCCTAATCCTTATATCTAAAAAAAGCTTAAATTTTCCCTAACAATTCATTGCACCGTGTGCAAGGTAACAGTACAATATAACCCTTGACTTTTTGGCCTGATCAGGACCTCAACTAATTAATTGAATCCAAGAATCTAAGACATAAAGTTGACCTTATAATTATAAAAAACCTGTTTAATCCATGACCAGCTAGGGTGAGTTCAATAAAAAAACCCTCATAAGAGCCACCATGAAGACATGCCAAAAGGTGCTGGAGGCTGCGAGCTGCACACTGTCGTAGATAAAATTGTAGTGGTTTTTGGTGACTGACACCACTACAGTTGGAGCCCCTCGGTAGATCCTAATAATTATATTTATCTTTTATAACAACCCTTGCATGGTGATTTAAGGGATTATCATAGCCGAAGCAAGCTTACCTTGAAAATCAAGGATTTGGAGACAAAAAGAGTGGCTCAACCACGAAAATATTGATAGAGGGCATCTCCCAGGCCATCCAAATGCACTTTAATCTATAATACAAGACGAAATTAGGCAGGATGCCTTAGATAAACTTGGAAAACCAAACTTACCGGCGATGATCTCAAACGAGGTCACGGAACTTTCTCGATAACACAAGGGAAAAACATTTCCACGAGCACTAGGCCACTACGAGCAATTAACCCTTACTCATTTAAAGTGAAATTCGAGGATACTGACAAAATTTTGACTTTCTGAAGGGATGAGGGATAAAATTATTATTAAAGGGACCAGTACGACTGTACCGTCCGAGCACCTTCAGAAAAGTGGCTTAGAGAACGACAGGAAGGTATGACATGACATTCGGAGCATGAATTTAGCAACAAACTTAAGGGCCTGTATACAACATTAACTTAACTTAAAATTATTTACATCTTGTTATTAAACCTCAAATATAGCCTTAATGGTAACATTGTAAATATTGCTCAATAATCTTACAAAATAACAATAATAATAATAATAATAATAATAAACAGTTTAAGATTAGCAGCTGAAAACAATATTAAATTTGGCGAGTAGCAAAATCAAGGTTACAACTGAGAGAGGTTGTCTGGTAAAAATACATTTCAACAGTTAAGCTACGTCATCAACGGTACTGTACAACCTGCTGCTCCAAGACATTTTTAAATAAAATTCACAACTAAATACCAAGTAGCTTTCAAACGCTACACTACCTCGATCAATTTTGTCCTCGGAAATATTCTGAAACGAAATCACAAAATAAATATAAACTGGAGACTCTAATATACATAACAAGTTATGCCGTCCATGGCGACAGCTCTGATATTGTCAGGATTTATATTCCTTTTAATCAACTTGTCGGGAGCAGTATATTGCCTTCTCCGGCAGACTTCACCAAAATTGGTAAAGCCTATTTTCTCAGTGGCCAATGGTTTTCTGATCTATGATGGAGATCTCTCACGGCGGTTCCTGAAAATTACTCAGAATAATAATTATGGATAAACCTGGAGTCTATTCAAAAGCCTACTCTTCTCAAAATAAAACTCTTCCTCTGTAAAAGAAGCCTGTTGGCCCATATCCTGCTGCTTCTTTTTTAACCTTCTTTTTAGGAGGTTTCTTGTTAGAATTTCCTGAAATTTGCGCTTCACGTGTACTGTCATATTCATGTCGCTTCTTGCATTTTCTCACAAACGATTAAAAGGCAGTGCCTGGCACCGTTAGCTTCGAGTCCAGTCAAGTTGAGCTTTGCCTATCAGCACCTTTATCGTATTGTAGCCTAGACAAATAGATAAACATCTCTGCTCGATTGTTTGTTTCATTAATCAGCTTGTGGCCCTGGCTTAACACAATTCGCTGAAGCACAGTTGTTATCCGATTGAAAATGCCAGCAATCTCCATTTCTGCCATTTTATTGCTAAAATCCCCAATACATTGACAATATGAAGGACTACATTTGAAGTGATTTCCAAAAGCATTTTCCAAATCAGTTTTTAAATTATCGACATCGCCATGTGCGTTGATATATAGTTTTTGTGGCTATATTTTCAAGATCCTTTATGGCAATCACCATCAAATATTTTCGTCTAGCAGCAGCCATGGAGGTATCGTTTTTTAACTTGTATAGCGCAGTTCCATAATTTTTGATAACATGGTTTTTGAACAAAGGTGACAAAATAATAAATCACCTAAATAAAAGTTATTTAAATATTTAGGTATGAATGAGATCAAGTCTGTACCTAAAACCAATGGAGGACTACTCTCTAATCTAGCAGTTAAACCTTCCAGAAAAATCTGATTCAACAAAAGAAGAGCCTCGCTATTCGAACAAATTGAATTGACATCATCGATGTAGCATGTAGGTACAGGGTCAGCCAACTATTGCGTTTGTTTTTTTTTTTTTTGTTGGTGCTGGATCTGATTAGGCATATTTTTTTATCCCGATAAAAGGCTTCGCACAGAAGATTTCTTTCCCTAGTATAAAGCCGCTCTGAAAATTTGTTCGCAAATTCTGGCAGGAAGAAGGATTTTAGTGCAGTCGAACAATGGTACGATAGTTTCTTACATAAACAATCAGGCAGGAACGAGATCGGGAATTATGACGCAGTTATAATTAATTATTAGCGGACGCATCAGAATCAATAAATGTTGTGCTTACGCATTAAATTCAGCTTTTTAATAAGATAAAATGAATACTAACAATGAATTAGTTCGATATGGTTGAGATTATGGTTAAACGATATGATATTCAACAAACCATACTGCCATTGCCACCATGTATGTCATTACAATTAACTGCGGAGAGGCGATAACTTGAAGCGTCATTATTTATAAACACGGTCCTAATCAAGATCCTTATGCTTATTTTTCATATTTTTTCAGGTGATACAGGTGATACAATAAGCCATTTTTACAATCAAAGCAAAAAGTTCACTCCAATTACTTCAAAATCAACAACTGTTCAAGCAGTTGACAATTTTTTGGATCGTTTAATAAAACTTACTGAAGAAGACGACCAAATCAATCATTTTTTCAAAATTCTAACAACTTTGACTCCAGGTGATTGGAAAACCATTATTAAGCTGATTAAACATGATTTAAGAATGGGAGCTGGGACAAAACATATACTGGAAGGCATACATCCAGATAAAAAATTACACACGCGTTTCCTCGAAACATTTCACCAACAAGGACCACTTTCATGACAAAGGTATCTTTATTGTAGAATAAAAACTTGTAGGATGCGTTCAAGACTGATCAGTATTGCGGTGCCTTCCGTTGCTTTGCGTCCAAAACGTCAAGAATGAAGACCCAAGGGACAACATGAGACAAAACAATTCCAACAGTCGTCCTAACGAGGGAGCAGCAAGGCGTCAAGGAACAGAGAAAGAGAAGAAGCCTCGAAAGAAACTAATAGAGTGAATAAAACGCAAGAAGCAAAAATGCCGATTTTTTGGAAATTTGCTTTCAAGAAGTACGAGTAATTATAAATTTATCATGTGTTTATATATAAATAATAAATACCTTCAAAATTCCTAATGGAATGATATAAAATCAATATTTCTATATATCAGTGATGATAGTATAATATTCATTCACCTGATTTTATTTGTTGCTTTGTTTTCCAGAATATTTCTTTACGAT